CTTTGCATTAGTCTGGCATTAGGTGAACACTTTCCAGTGATCCTGCTTCCTAGTACACTATATCCAACTTAGGCACTTTGCCAGTCTGGATATTTTGGAGGGGGGTGGGTGAACTAGAATAATCACAAAAGTAGACTAGCCACATGGATGTATTATTCCCCAAGTTGTCTTTCCTCGAGTGCTAATTAGCACTACGCATATCAAACACCATGTATGTATTAGCAGTGCCGTATTTTCAAATTTGCTTACTTTTCACAGTCTGAAACAAAACCTCATTTGAATTAACACTACCTGGACAGTAATGACTAAACCAAAGGGCCTTTTTTTAGTTTCCGGACCGAAATGGGAATCAGAAGTAGCTCCTCGTAGCTGACATGTAACAAACATGTGGATGGGAAATAACACCAGCACTTTCCCAAAGATTCTTCTCACTCCGAACTTTCTTAGCTGGGACACCCACCAAGTCTTTGGGGTGCTGTGAAAATCCACTTACCCGGTCCTTCATCCTCCAGCTCTGAGCTAAGGACTTGGAGCCTTCAATTTTCTCACAGTGCCTCTTTTTCATAAAAGCCAAAGGCAGATTCCAGTCGGTGAGGTCGGCCTCGTCGTCCTCCCCGAGTCCCAGCGGGGGGGACTGCAGCAGTTCGGACTCCATCTGGGGGGGAGGGGGAGGGGGAGTCCTGGGCAGCAAGCGCTCGAGAACCTCCAGCCTTAAAAATCAGTGTGCACCAGAACGGACCTGGTGGAGGTGAGAGACGCAGAAAGACAGGCGGGGGACGGCGGGGTCGGGAAGGAAGCCGGGGGGCGGCGGGGTGGAGGACGGTCCTTATTCGGTCCAGAAAAAAAAAAAAACCAACAGCAGCGCAGCGGAGATCCTCAACCCCGCGCGGGAAGTCGGAGGCGAGGCCGGGAGAGGCGAGGCCGGGAGAGGCGGCGCGGAGCCCCGCACGGGCGCGGGCCCCGCCAGACCCCAAGTCCCGGGCTGCTCTCGAGGCGATCCGGACCCCGCGAGCGTCCGA